GAGCCGGTAGTGGTTCTGGAGGGCCACTCGAAGCGCGTTGGCATCGTCACCTGGCACCCCACCGCCCGCAACGTCCTGCTCAGCGCGGGTACGGGGGGACACAGCAGGCACGGGGAGGGGTGCCACGCGGCCGAGGTGACCCCTGCCATGTTCCCCAGGCTGTGACAATGTGGTGCTGATCTGGAACGTGGGCACGGCGGAGGAGCTGTACCGGCTGGACGGGCTGCACCCCGACCTGATCTACAGCGTCAGCTGGAGCCGCGATGGCTCCCGCTTCTGCACCGCCTGCAAGGACAAGAGCGTCCGTGTCATCGACCCCCGCCGCGGCACCGTGGTGGCCGTGAGTGTCCCCACCCCTCCGGGGGGCCTGTGTCACCAGGGCACTGCCCTGCACTGGTTCTTGGGGGGAATCCCCTGCTCTTGTCCCTTGGTGCACCCCATTGTCCCGTGTTCTGTGGGTGTCCTTGTCCCCTGGTTCTCCCCGCTGTCCCCTGTCCCTCTGTGCCTGTCCCCGGGGTGCTGCAGGCACCGGTGACAGCCGTGCCCCCCAGGAGAAGGAGCGGGCACACGAGGGGGCCCGTCCCATGCGCGCCATCTTCCTGGCTGACGGCAAGATCTTCACCACCGGCTTCAGCCGCATGAGCGAGCGGCAGCTGGCGCTATGGGACATGGTGAGTGGCACCCCAGGGGTCCCCCGGGACCATTTTGGGGACCCCCATGTGGCTGACACCTCATCCCACCCCAGGAGAACCTGGAGGAGCCCATGGGGCTGCAGGAGCTGGACTCCAGCAACGGGGCCCTGCTGCCCTTCTACGACCCCGACACCAACGTGGTCTATGTCTGCGGCAAGGTATGGAGGCCCCCACCCCACTGGTGGCCCCCCCGGAGCCAGGGACCCCCCAGCTTTGACACAGCGTGTCCCCAGGGGGACTCGAGCATCCGGTACTTTGAGATCACAGAGGAGCCGCCCTACATCCACTTCCTCAACACCTTCACCAGCAAGGAGCCCCAGCGGGGAATGGGCTGGATGCCCAAACGCGGGCTGGATGTCAGCAAGTGCGAGATCGCCAGGTGGGCACGGGGACACGGGGGACGAGGTGAGGGACCCCCCCCCAGCCCCCCCCAAAACCGTCTGTGACGCCTCTGCTCCCCTGGCAGGTTCTACAAGCTGCATGAGCGCAAGTGTGAGCCCATCATCATGACCGTGCCAAGGAAGGTCAGTGGGGATGGGAGCAGGGTGGGGATAGGGGAATGTGGGGTGGGGGCACCTAGTACGGCTGGTGGGAGTCCTCAGGGGGTCTGAGAGGGGTCACTGGGCAGGACTGCGGGCTGTGTGGGGTTCCTGGGCAAGGGGTCCCTAATCAGGCTGGATGGGGTTCCCTGTGGGGTCTGCGTATGAGGTCCCTGAGCAGAACATGGGAGCAATGGGGGGTCCCCAGTGAGGCTGTGTCCCCATGGCGTCTCTCTGGGGGTCGCCCTGAGGACGCCACCCCTCTGACACTGTTGGGGGCAGTCGGACCTGTTCCAGGATGACCTGTACCCGGACACGGCAGGCCCCGAGGCGGCCATGGAGGCAGAGGAGTGGGTAGCGGGGCGCACGGCGGGGCCCGTGCTGGTGTCTTTGCGCCAGGCCTATGTCCCCAGCAAGCAGCGGGACCTCAAGGTGAGCCGGCGGACGCTGCTCCACGACAGCCGCGCCACCGCCACCTCCGCCACCGGGGCCACCACGCCACCCCCCACGCCCCCTGCCGCCCCTGCGTCCACTCGCTTCAGTGCCCCCCCAGTGCTCGGCTCCGGCAACGCCACGGTACGGGGGACAAGGGGGAAAGGGGGAAAGGGGGAAGGGGAGAGAGGGGTGCGGTCGGTGTGGGTGGGGCTGTGGGGTGGGTGTGGTTACTCTGGTGGGCAGTGAACGGGGTGGGTGTGGCAGGTGGGTGGGGCCACGGGGAGTGGGTGTGGCTCTGCCGGGCGTGTCCCGTGTGACGGGGCTGTCCCTCAGGGGGGCCGTCTGGAGGAGGTGCTGCAGGAGGTGGCGGCGCTGCGGGCGCTGGTGGCGGAGCAGGGCCAGCGCATCTCCCGCCTGGAGGAGCAGCTCAGCCGCCTCGAGAACGGCCACGTGTAGGGACCCATCGGGGACCACCGCCCCAGGGACCACGCCTACACCCCAGGGAGCCCCCTGAGCCATCTCGCCCCACTGGGGTGCCCCCCTTGCCCCGCTCCGGGCCCTTCTCCCATTGTGGGGCTGGCCGCCCCTCTGGCAGCTCCCCACTTTCCCCCATTGCCTTACTGGGTGCTGCCTCCCCAAGTCATGGACCATTCTCTAACCTTGCCCCCATTCCTCGGGCTGGGGAATTGCTCCTGGGATCAAAGATTACCCCCTGCACCCCTCAATCCCTGTGTGGGGTCTCCCCCCTTTCTATGGGGCAGGGCATGATCTGCCTTCCTCAACTGTGAGATATTGTCCCCCCTATATTTTGGGGGCTTCTCCTCCCCTCCTCCTGTGTCCCCCATCTCCATTCCAGTGCAGGGTCAAAAACTATATTTTCACTCCAAATAAAGGATTTATAAGAAAAGTGATGGTTGCAGGGGCCACCTGGGGGGTGACAAAGTGGGGGCAGGAAGGCGCAGCAGTCACGGGCGGGAGATCAGCGCCTTGGCAGGAAGTGGGGTGGCACGGGGCGGCATTTTGGGTAGCAGGGGTGAGGGGGGTGTAGCAGTCGGCCTCCCCCCGCTCCGGCACATCCGCTGCACGGGGGCAGGAAGTTGGGGGGGGCTCCCCCATCTCAGAGCGTGCCCGCAGCATCGGGACCGGCTCTGGCTGCACCCACTGATGGTGAGCACCCCAAAACCGGGCAGGGTGGGAGACTGGGGAGCTGGGAGAGTCAGGAGTAGGGAACCGGGGTGAGGTTGGGGAGAGTGGGAAGGTAAGGGGAGTATGGAATGTCGGGGGGAAAGGTTGGGGGATAAGGGGAGCCCAGTGGGGTTGGGAGGGAAGGAGGGGGGTTCAGGGGAGCACGGTGGGCTTGGGGGGGGTCAGGTATGGGTGTGGGGTTGGCGGCTGTGCAGCCACATTGAAGACGGCAAGTGCCGAGTTTGGGGGGGTTCTGGAGCTTTGGTAGGGGGTGCTATGGGGCTGCAGCCCTGTGCGCAGGGGCGAGGGGTTCTGAGAGGCTGTGCAGCCATGTAGGGTGGCAGGACCCAGTTCCTCTCCCCCAGCACCTGCAGGTGCTGCTGCACCCGCCACCCACGGCTTCCGTCCCCGGGGGTCACCTCCCCCTCCCTGGCCCTGTCCGCTGCTCCTGTACCTTGTCCCCTGTCCCTGCCGCCCTTTGCCCCGGCCCTTCCCTGCATCCCAGCTCCGGGAAAGCACGTGCCAGGCGCTGACCCCGCTGCCCTCACCCGCAGGCTGGCCCGCGGTGGCACCCGGTGCTGCTGGCGCTGGCGGGGCCGGCGGCGGCCGGGGAGCCCGCGGGGGCCCGCAATGACCGGGCGGTGGCCGCCCTGCTGGGTCTCCTGCTGTGCCTGGCGCTGGGGCTGGCGCTGGCCTGGCACCACCTGTGCCGCCTCTCGGCCGGCCGCTACCACCCCCGGCCCTTGGGCCGCCGGGCGCTGGAGCTGCTGCGGGGACGGTGGCACCGGCTGCGCTCACCGGAGGACCCCGCCGTGGCCCTCGGGGACGGTGACGGGGGGGTGACCGTGCGGGACGAGGAGGAAGAGCTGATGCCCTGGAGCCTGGAGCGGCGGCCGGAGCAGGATGAAGAGGAGGATGAACAGGAAGAGGATGAACAGGAGAAGGATGAGAAGGAGGAGGATGAGAAGGAGGAGGATGAGGAGGAGGCCGAGGCAGCACCACAGGGCGGGGAGAACCTCCTGAGTGAGGGGGAGGCGGCGGGGGGCAGCGCCAAGGCCCTGCTCAGTGACCTGCACGCCTTCTCGGGGACAGCGGCCTGGGGGGACGCGCGGCCACACGTCACTGCCTTGTGACATCATCGGCCTGACGTCACTATCCTTGGATGTCACCTCCCTGCAGTGTCACCGCCCTGTAGTGTCACCGCCCTGCCAGCAAGGGGACCCCTTCTCTGTCCCCTGCCTGCCCCCAGCGGAGGCTCCTGATTGGCTGCAGGGACCTGAGCACTGACCAATAAAAGGGCAGCTCTACCTGATCAGGGGGCGTGGCTTGTAGAGAAGTGGGTGGAGCCAAGAGACGGGTGTGGTGGGTGGGAGGAGCCTGAAAAGGGGCGGGGCATCACACGGGGGTGGAGCCTGGCTCCTCCCTGGTGGGACAACACCCCCACCCTCCCAGCGGGCCCCCCCAGCCCCCCCAGCCCCAGCACAGGGACCACCACAGCCTCAGCAAGTCCTTTAATTGGCACACATCCAGCAGCAGGGCCACACCCCAGGGGGCCACACCCCAAAGGCTGTGCCCCCAGAGGGGCCACACCCCAAAAAGCCACGCCCACATGGGCACCTCCCTGGGGGTCCACACCCCTGGGGGTTTTCGCCGTGCCCCCAAACCTGGCCGACAGGGGCTGTGCCAGAGGGGAAGAGCCCCCCGGAGCACAAGCAGCACCGTGGGGTCCCCCCCATCCCATGGGGAGCACCAGGCCCCCCTCAAAACCCCCCACCCTCCCCACCCCTACCTGGGCACCCGACCCCGGCCCCCCTTCTGCTTCTTGGCCCCTCCCGAGGGTTTGATGGGCAGGGGGGCTGTGCCCTCGGGCGGGGGGGGCTGGGGGGCCCCCAACTCCATGGGGTCGCCTGGCACCACTGGCTTGAACACCTCGAAGGGGGAGAACTTCACAGGGCTGGGGGGGGGGACACATGAGGGGGTGAGTGGGGCACCCAGGGAGGGCAAGGAAAGAGGGGCAGCCAGTGTCCACAGAGCTCCTTCCCCACCCCCGGAGGCACCAACTCCCCCCATACTCCATGAACCTCCCTTACTATTCATTCTCTGCCTTGGGGCCCACCCTGACTCCCTCACCCCAAAGCACCCCAAACCCTCACCCCACTGCCCACACAGTCTCTCGGTACTCCCAGGATGGGGCAGGTAGAGTCGCCCCACCCTCTATGCGCCCACCCCTTGCAACCCCAGCCCTGTCCCCTGTCCCCACCTTGGTGCCCACCCTGAAACCCCCATCCCAAAGCCCCCCACCCCAAAGCCCCCCACCCCAAAGCATCCCCCGACCCCCCTGTGCCCCAGTACCTGACGGGGGTGCGGGGGCTGCTGTTGAGGCGCCGGGGGGAGCGCACCTTGGGCTGGAAGGAGAACCCCTCCTTGATGCTCTCCAGCACAGAGGGGGCTACGTAGGTGAAACCCTGCGGGTTTGGGGGTGTCAGTGGGGGGGCCTGGGGGTGCCGGGGGTCCCCCCCACAGCTGTGCCCCCCCCTACCAGGAAGGCCTGGTTGGCGCTCTCGCTGATGGCAGCGTCGTCGGGGCTGTCCACGGGGGTCTGGCGGGTGAAGCGGGTGTCGAACTGGCTCACGTCCTCCTCTGACTGCTGCGGGGAACACAGCGGCTGCATTCACGGGGCCCGCCAAAACATCCCCAGCCTCCCCCCACAGGCCCCCATACCAGGCAGGGTTTGAAGGGGGGATCCAGCCTGCGCGCCAGCAGGTCCTCCCAGTTGATGTGGCGGAAGAAGGGCTGTTTCTGTGGGATTTGGGGTGTCAGGCAGGATTTGGGGGGGTGTCTCTGGCACCTCCTGCCCACCCCTGTACCTGCACATCGGCTGCGTCACCGGGGCCCCCCCCAACCCGCTGGCTGGGGTTCCGCTTGAGGAACTGGAAGAGAAATAGGGATAGAGATGGGAATGGGGGTAGGACCCACATGGGGGGAGGTGGGGAAAATTGGGGGGAGGGGGGAGGACCTTTTTGAGGAGGTCACGAGCATCGGGTGTCAGGTAGGGCGGCAGCACCAGCTTCCCCTTGAGGATCTTGTCGATGGTCTTCTTGCGGTTCTCGGCGGTGAACGGTGGCTGTGGGGGGAACCGGGGGGCCATGAAGAGCCAGGCTGACCAGAAAGGCACGGGGTCAGCCCCCCAGGCACCCCGGGATGCCCCCCCAGTTCCCAGGGAGGAAGGAGCAGCAGTGGGACTTGCCGATCCGGTGAGCATGTCGTACATCAGGGCGCCCAGGCTCCACCAGTCCACCGCCCTGTTGTGCCCGCTCCGCACCAGGATCTCAGGGGCCCTGGGGGGTGTGGGGGGGGCCCTGAGCGGATGGGAGGCCAAAACAGACCCCCCAAATTCCCCCCAGTGCTGCATCCACCTCACATGTACTCAATGGTGCCGCAGAAGGTGTGGGTGACGGCTCCGTCATGGATGGACTCCTTGCACAGCCCGAAGTCTGTCAGCTTGATGTGACCTGAGGGATGTGGGGAGCTCAGCACTGCCCCCAGAGAACCCCCCAAACTCCCCAGTTTGCCCCCCAAACCCACCTTGGCTGTTGAGCATGATATTCTCTGGCTTAAGATCCCGGTAGATGATCCCATGGGAATGCAGGTGACCTAGTGCCAGCGTGATCTCGCTCAGGTAGAAACTGCAGCGGGATCGGGGCAGGCTGTGAGCGATGTTCAGGTGACCACCCCACCCACACCCACCACCACCATCACCACATCCCTACCAGGCAGTGTCCTCCAGGAAGATCCCTTCCCGCTCCAGCTGCATGAAGAGCTCTCCACCTGTACAGAGAGCCCGAGAGCGACCCTCCTGAGCCATCCCTGGACACTCTTTAATCACTCCCAGGGAGTATCTGAACCACCCTGGACCCCATGAGCCATCCCTGGACACCCTCCCTGGACACTGCAGCCACTCCAGGTCAAGCTTTAACCATCCCTGGACACCCCAAGCCATTCCTGGAACCCCTCCAGCCTTCCCTAGGACAACTTGTAGCCATTCCCTGGAGTTATCCCCGGGACCCCCGAGCCATCCCGCACCGCTGAGGCACTCCAGGATGAGGTAGAGCTTGCCGCCCGTCTGGAAGGCGTAGATGAGGTCAACGATGAAGGGGTGCTTGACGGCCTCCAGGATGTTCCTCTCTGCCCGGGTGTGCGCTGTGTCCTTGGCGTTGCAGGCGATCTTGGCCTGGGGGGGAGGCGGTGAGCGGGGGGGGTCCCCGGGGGGGCTGGGGGGGCCGGGGCGGCCCTACCTTCTTCAGGACCTTCATGGCGAAGATCTTCCCCGTGTTGGTGCCCTGCACTTTGCGCACCTGGAACACCTGGAAGGACAGGCAGAGAAGGTCGGGGGCGCCATCAGGGAGCACTGAATCCCCCCAGAGCCCCCCAGCCCCACCGTGTCCCCACCTTGCCGTAGCCACCCTTGCCCAGGACGCGGAGCAGCTCGAAGCAGTGGGGGCCGATGTGCTCGGGGCCATTGTTGACGCTGCTCTCGGAAATCTCGATCTCTTCATAGTGTCCCACCGGCCTGGCAGGAAAGGGGGTGAGCAGGGACAGCCCCCCGCCTGTCCCCTGCCTGCATTACCCCCAAACAAGCTGTCCCCCACTTACTCCAGGCCGTTCCCCCGTGGCTCCAGCTCCATGTCCTGCGGGACAGAACTCGCGGTCAGTGGTGGGCAAGTGAGGAGCAGAAGGCAAGGGGACGCATGGCAAGGAGGGGACACAGGGCAGGAAGGGGAGACACAGCAGAGAGCGGACCCGCGGCAGGTAGGGGACACACGGCAAGGAGGGGAGCCCCGGCAGGCAGGACACGGGCAGGACACGGGCAGGACACGGGCAGGACACGGGCAGGACGCGGCAGCGCGGGGCGAGGCAGCGCCGAGCCGGCCCAGACGGATGTTTTGGGGCCGAGGCCGGGCCCTGCCCAGCGGGAGCCGCCCGCTGCCCACCCGGGATCCGCGGCTGCCCGCGGTGCCCCGGCGCCCCGTCCCCGCGGACAGCCCGGCTACACCCGTGTCCCGCCACCGGCGGCACCCTGTCACTGCCCCTGTCGCTGTCCCCCCAAGCCCCTGCCCGCCCTTCCCGGCACCGAGCGGACCCCACGCACCCCCGACACCCTCGGTCCCGCTGTCCCCACCGCGCCCCGGTGCCGCTCACCGCCTCCACCGCCCGTCCCGCTCCCGGTGCCCCCCGTCCCCGCGGCTCCCCCCGCCCCAGCCGCCGCTGCCGGTCGCAGCCCCGGTGCCCCCCCCGCGCCCCGCTGCCGGCTCACGGCGCCCAGCTCGGGCTCGTCCCCGTCGCTGCCCTCCTCGGTCTCCAGGTCGATGTCGAACACCCCCGCCATGACGGCGCCCTGCCGGGACCCCCGGGGACCCGCCCCGATGGCCACACCCCCAATAGCGGTCACGCCCCCGCCACGCCCCCCGTGTCACCGCCTTATCGGGGCCCCGGGGAACCCGCGACGATGGCCACGCCCTCGACCACGCCCCTCCCACCGGCCACGCCCCTCCCGCCCGCGCGTCACCGGGATGTCCCCTGCGCGGGGGACACGGGGACAGGGGGTCCCCGAGGGTGGCGCAGGGAACACGACAGAGGCAGCGCGGCCGCTCACAGCCTTTACTGGGGTCCCCGGCCCCTCCCCGCCCCCGCTGCGCCGCGCTGACGTCAGCGGCGCCGCCGTGACGTCAGAGGAACGTCAGAGATCCCGCGCGAGGTTTCCGCGACGTCGGAGGACACGAGTGGGGCTGCGGGGCACTGGGGTTATTGTCGGGTCGCTGGGGGTGATTGTGGGGTCACTGATGTTATTATAGGGCCTCTGGTATTATTGCAAGACCAGGGGCACTACAGGGGCCGTGTATTATTGAAGGGTCTCTGGTGTTATTGTAGGGTCACCGGTGTAATTGTAGGGTCAGGGGCACTACAGGGACTGGGGTTTATTGGAGGGTTTCAGACACTAAAGTGGCTGTGTGTTATTGCAGGCTCTCAGGCTCTGTTATTGTGCGATCTCTGGTGTTATTGTAGGGCTGTGAGGGCAGTAGGATCTGGGTGTACTGTAGGGTCACTACTGTTATTGTAGGGTCAGGGGCACTACAGGGGCTCTGTGTTATTGTAGGGTGTCTGGTGCTACTGTAGGATCTCAGACATTACAGGGGCTGGGCGTTAGTGCAGAGTCACTGCTGTTCCTGTAGGGCCACCCCAGTGACAGCCCTATATCACATGGGTTTCCCAGACAAGTCTCTTCCCAGAGGATTTTCTGAGCTGCTCCAGGGAATCCCTGGGTACCCCTTTGTTATTATAGGGTCTCCCTGTGCAGGTCTATTATTGTAGGGTCTCCCCATGTCAGTCTGTTACTGTGGGGTCTCCCCTTGCTGGTGTGTTATTGTGGGGTCTCCCCACGTTTCTTTGTGTATGGGATGTCCCAATAATTCTTTGTCATTATGGGATCTCCCCATAATGGTGTGTTATTGTAGGGTCTCCCCATGCCAGCAGGTGCCAACACCAAGCTTCACCTGCTGCTCTCATGGGGTGGCCTGGGTGCCTGGGGGCAAGTCCTGGTTGTGTCCCCCGAGGTCGGCACAGGTTCAGCAGGGGTCAGTGTCCTCCTGTATGTCCCACGCATGGGACCCCCAGCTTCAGGGACAGGGGGAACTGAGGGTAGAGACTGTAGGGACAGGGCAGAGGGGACAGGGAGGGACAGGGGAGAAAGGGTGCAATGTTGGGAAGCAGGGAATGGGGTGCTAGGGCAGAGGGATGGGGTGCTGGGGTAATGGAGGGATGCCAGGGGGGATGGTGGTGCCTGGACTGGGAGAGGGGGAATCTTAGGGTGTCAGTGTGATGGAAAGGTGAAGTGCGAGGACGGAAAGGGATGCCAGGGAATATGATTCCAGGACATGGGAGATGCCAGGGACTGGGGTGTCAGAGTAGTGGGGGGGTGCCGGGAGAAAGGGTTTCATGATGCCAGGGGATGGAGTGCCAGGTTAATAGGAGGATCCCAGCGGATGGGATGTCAGGATGCCAGGGGATGGGCTGCCATGGGAGTGATGCCAGGGGGTGGGAGGCCAGGATGAAAGGGAATGCCAGGCAGTCGGGGGGCAGGGCAAATGACTGGGATCCAGAGCGGTACCGGGGTGCCAGGACATGGTGTACCAGGCCACGGGATGGGGGGACAGCGGGACGGGGCGGCAGGGGGATGCCGG